TATTAGCGATTCTTCTTCCAAAAGATTTCTTCTTTTAAATAATTTCTTCTTATCGTGCGTATATAGAACACCGTCCATAGAGAGTTTCCAAATTTTAGAGGTCTCGTTAAATTTTAAATTTAATTTCGCGTATCACGGATTGGAAACAACTTTAGTTTTATTATTCGATAGAAAATTTGATTCTGACTCGATCTCGAAACGTAAAATCTTTCATCTTCTCGATATTCTTAAAATCGGTAAGATATTCCAATTTTAAATCTCTTTCTAAGAGACGAAAATTCGTTTAATGAAATATTCCACCTTTAAATCGATTATCGCGGCCACCAAGTTGATCGCGTTAAATTGAAGTTGAAAATGCACGCGCTTCACTCCCTCCCTCCGTATTTTCGTAACGTTCTCCAGCACGTCGTTAAGGATGGAGCGATGCATCAATATGCCTGGCTTGTCGCTCCTACAAATGAACTGAAATATGCTTGTACCTTAGAAGCAGCACAATGATAAACGTTATTACTCGAGTACTTGAAAACATAATTTATATGCGAGGACGGAGGTGCACGCAGTTAAGTTAAATGCATGCATTTCCTGAACGGGCCAAACAAAGCAGGTATATATCTTGCCAAGCTTGCCACAATTTTCCCCTCCAACTTTGTTCCCACGCATGTAGATTCCCCGTAAGAAGAGATGGCAGAGCGGCAGAGATCCGTTTTCACCAACCTTTTCAATTATTCCTACCCTCCCCTCCGCTCTTCCTCCTTTCTTCTTTCGAAATTTCACTCTTTCTCTCCGATTATTACGATCTTATTTGGAGAAAGTCTGTTAATGTACGCGACAATGAAGTAATCGATCGAAATGTTTGAATAAAATGTTTTTCTGTTTTATGATTATAAAAAGAAAGGAGCAAGTTCTACTAGGGCTTCTATCTAATTAACATTTCAGATTTGTTTAGAAAGATATATACTTTATGCTTTGTACATTCAAATATTTGTACGAAAGCATTCGCAATCTATTTATTAGATCGCATATGAGAATAACAAACGAAGAATTTCTAATATACATCTTCTGTAGAAAGCACTCCAATTATCGCTTTCTTCTTTCCAAAATACTTGGAATCTTTAACATTCCAATCGAATCGCTACACAGTTCTACAAATTCCTCTCCCTAAAAGAATCTCTTTAAACCTAGTTCGACCTAGTGTTTCGTCGTGTCCAATTAGGATACGAAAAAGAGATTGAAACAAGAGGAAGGCGAGCGAGGCCGATCAATAATCGAGATAATCCCTGGAACCGAGTCGTGTAGATGGAAAAGTGTTTTTATCGAGTTTTCACGAGCGAGGCAATGGCCGAACGAACACATCCTGATATCTCCTTCTAAATCCAATTGGAAATCGCTTGCGCATAATGGCACCCTCTGGCGAAGCCAATGTCGCGGTCTATCGATTAGCATCGGTTTACAGTCCACCATTAGATTCGATTACGCAGTTCTAGGGACGAGTCACCAGCCGTTGGCAACACCACCACCCGTTGCTCCCTAAAACGTTGCCGTCTCCGTCCATGCGCTCCTTCTAATTAGCCGACCACCGCAACCATTCGATATATGCTAATGTCTCCACCTTCTGCCGAATTCCACCTTCGCCATGCGAATTTCCACGATATCCGATTCGCGCCTGGCCTAACCAGTCACTCCATTACAAGGGGATGGAATGTTTGAAGCGAGGGTTATTTTTAATTCGATAAGAAAAGTTGTGGAAGATTGGATGAAATCTTTTTTTTTTTTTCTATATTATTTCTAAACTTCGCTTCGTTTCATCTTGATTACATAAACGCTGTGTTTTAAATCGATCGAGAATTTAGAAAGGTTTTGTTTCGATTTATCGTTTCGAATCCTTGTGAATACGAAAAATCCTTCTCGATCCGAATGGATCAGTCGCGAACGAAGGTAGAATCGTTTCGAGGCGTGAAAAATATTTAATTTCCATTACTCTTCTAATTACGTTTATCCGATGATTATCTGTGAGAATGGAGGGAACAGATCTTCGCGAAAACGAGAATAATCAAAGGGAAGATTTTTCAGAAACGTGTTCGAGTTTCGGTCGCGTAAATGGAGCCAGGAGGCCGCGAAAAGAAGGGTATATATTTAGGGGAGAGGGAATATGAACAAATTCGCAAACAACGAGGATGTGTGTTGCATCAAATAGAAAGCGGAAGAGGCATACGCCGCGTTTATTTGCAGAACGTGAGAGACGAGCTTTTGATTTATTCCGTCGCCGGTTAAAAATGACGCGTGACCCATTTTTTATTCACTCCCTATATCGACTTCCGTCGATTTCGTCGTATCATCGCGAAATGCCCCTTCTAGAGACGCGCGCACTTGGATTCTTCTTCTTTCCTCAACCGCAATTAAAATTATTCGTTTGAAAATTGTGAAACGTTCTCTTATACAGGGTGTTTCAGATCGAAGTATCAAAATTCTTCATCGAATCAATTTTTTTTCTCGAAATTATTTTTTCAATTGTTCGAACTTTTGTGATCTATTTATACTTTCAAAGGGTGAATCTTGAAATTTTTGAGATCGATTTACGATATCAAAGATCGGAAAACTTTGGATAAAACATGATTTTTCTCTCCATTTTAATCGTTCCTCTTCGATTATTATCGGAAAGAATAATTGAGGCGCTTTCGTTCTTCCAATTAATCTAAGATCGAGATCGAAATGTAGCGAGATCTAATATTTTATGAAGGTGCTTTAAATGTTGATTAAACACAACTGGTATTTGGATTAAACTCAAGAGTGATAAAGTTGATTCGATGTACCGGAAAGCAGAATATACTCGCATTAATATTCAAAGATCGTATTGTGCCGAAGAGAGATTATATCGTTCCATGTGTATGTATATGTGTGTCTATAATAGTGTCGTCGAATTGATCGCTGCGGTTAGTAGAAATGCAAATTTTATTTAATCGATGCACATAGTCTTCTGCAGAATAAGGGATAAAAATATCGAAACAACGTTCAAGCATACCTTTCATACTCGCTTATAAATAGAAAGAAAAAATTATAAATTAAATACAAAATTTCCTTATTCCCGTCCTGCTTTGTAAAAAGATTTAAACATGGAGCAAATTTCCATTTCCATTCAGAAGACACGAGTTAATTTAACGAACGAGTATAAACGGCAATAATCTTTGTTTCTTCATCATTCTCGTCCGTGCATTAACGCTCTAGATCTTTTTATTTAATAATAACGGTCGTAAAGGATGATTTATAACAACTTCGTTAAAATTTTCCCTAATTATCTTGAGACTGATCGAGAATGAAGGAAGAAGTGGAAGTGAAAGGAGAAAGATCGCAAGATCCCCTTGCTCTAAATTTACATCGGCGTACAATTAAGGGTCACTGTATATATTAGGAGAGGACGAAGGGGTTATAATGGACGAAGTCGCGGGAGGAGTTGATGGCGGAGTGGCGGCCGTAAATCTGGCAGCAAACAAGCGATGTGTAAAGTATGCAAATCTTTAATAGGAAGTGGTCGTGGCAGGGTTAAATAACATTCCTAGGGGGAGGGGGATGGAAAAACATTCTACTTTGTGCCGACAATTTGAATACACGGGATATCGTTTTATTTCCAATCCCTTGGAATTCTGTTTTTATTTTCGAGTTGGGAACCAATAATGCGGAGAACAGAAGAGTTCTCTGATTCCGAAAAGTTTCGTGAAATCATTCGCTTAATTTCTTTTAACTCGTTCCTTCTTTATTTATCTTTAATAGAGGAAAAAGCGGTGTTTTAGAGATTCGAAATTCGAAAGTTGGAATTATTTTCTTTTTTTCGAATTATAATAGCGCTTTTTTTTCGAAAAGGGAAGATTGTTTCTTCGTTTCATTTTTAAATATTCAAAGGGGAAATTAATCAAAAAACAATTATACTGTTTCTGTTTTTAATCCCGAGAGAACTTTTTAGAAGATGGTTTAAGATAAAATATAAAAGTTGGAATTACTTTTCTGATTAGTATCATTCGAAGAATTAAAAACAGAAGGAGAAAAATTTGTTCGCGAGGATAAGAAGAAAATTAAATTAATCGAAACGCGAAAGGAAAGAAATTACAGTATTATCTTATTACATAACTGCAAAACTTGGTGTAACTGCAAATGATCGACTTTAAAGTTGAACAACTTTAACAATTTCTTCTTTTTTTTTTTTATAAATAAAATAAACATTCCCGCTCAACTTCTTCATTTCCAAGAGGATAAAATTCCTCTCTATTTATTTATATAAGAAATATAATGGAATAGAAGTTTCGCGTAATTTCACGATATCCGATTCCCTCCTTTCAACGGGACAATGATCCATAAATTTGGAAAAACTTCGCGAATAAATTTTATGCTCTCTTATTATAAATTCGGAAATGTATATATATATTTCGAAGGATTCGTTTCTTTATCGTCTATTAAACTCTATTAAAATCGATCTCGTCCAGAGGAGGGGATAAACAACTATCGATATCGAACCAGGCAGACTCGCTGCGGGCAAGAAGATATCCCTTCCCGTTCGCCCATTCGCCGATGAAAGGTAAATGTTTAAATGTCCGCGAGAGCGGGCATCGCCGATTGAAGTCGATCATTAATTAATGCAGATGCACCGTGTTTATCGTGACTCGAATTATTTCCGCGCGAATTAAACGTCCATAATTGAGAGAGCGATGAATGCCGCGAAATACCGATTTCCAACCATCGGAAACACGGCCAATGCGGGAAAACTCGGGAGCACTTGTTAAATTTTTCGAGTATTATCGTTTCCTTTCCCTGGTTCGAACGAGATCGAATCGAACGAAACATCGCTAATTAATTTCCATTTTATCGTATTTGTATATGCATGTATATACACGTGTAGTAACTCGTGTGATCGAAATTCTACATTTTTCTTTTCTTTTTTTTTTTTTTTTTTTTTTTTTTTTTTTTT